CTCCCATCCTATGGGCTTCCCGAGAAATCGTGCGATTGGATCACCAGCTTTCTGTCAGATCGGGGCATCAAGGTCGTTGTAGACGGTGCAAGCTCCGATTGCAAGCCTATTAATGCTGGTGTTACACAAGGCTGCGTGCTATCGCCAACGCTGTTTCTTCTGCATATCAATGAATATGTTGCAAACCCGTAACATTCATTGCTATGCAGATGACAGCACTGGTGATACTCTTTACACCGGACGAGCCAATATTTCTCGGGAAAACGTCTCCGAGTACCGGGACAAACTTGGGTCTGAAGTCGAGTCTTTGCTGAATAGAGTCTCGGATTGGGGGCGACTAAATCTAGTACAGTTTAACCCCCAGAAGACACAAGTTCGCGCGTTAACCGCTTAAAAGAACCCCTTTGTCGTATCTCCTCAGTTTCAAGGCACCCCCCTTGTTGCCTCAGCCAGTATCAGAATCCTCGGCGTCGACATATCGAGTGACGTGCAGTTTCGTGGTCACTTGGAAGAGAAGGCCAAATTAGCCTCTAAAAAGCTTGGCGTGCTCAGCAGAGCGGGACAGTATTTCATGCCGGCACACCGCCTGCAACTTTAAAATGCGCAGGTTCGGCCGCACATGGAATACTGTTCTTATCTCTGGGCTGGGGCTCCCCAGTACCAGCTTCTTCCACTTGACCGCATCCAGCGCAGAGCGGCTCGAATCGTCGACGACCGAGTGCTTTCCGATCGGCTTGATTCACTGACGCTGCGAAGAGATGATGCATCTCTTTGCATTTTCTTTCGCATATACCATGGGCAGTGCTCTGAGGAATTGTTCGGATTAATCCCAGCCACCAAATTTCGTGAACGCACTACGCGGCAAACGTCCCGATACCATCCACACCATCTGGATGCTTGGCGGTCCACCACTGTACGTTTCAAAAGGAGTTTTCTTCCGCGTACGACCTCTCTGTGGAATAGTTTACCACCGGCGATTTTTCCGGCCCGATACGACCTGGGGACCTTCACGAAAAGAGCTTACTACTTTCTAAAGGGCCGGCAACGCACCTGCAATTCCCCTGGTGTTGCGGTTGATCATGGGCGGCTTAACATCAGGTGAGCCGCATGCTCGTTTGCCTCTTCTATAAAAAAAAAAACAGGAAGAATGAAATCTACCCCTCTAATGCTCTCCAGGTTGAGTGTAGTGAGGGTCCTCTCTTTCTTCGCAGGCAGTACCTATCAGACAAATTCTGGTTCAAAAAGTGTTCTCTTCATAACCATCCGCTGTTCCATATACTACACTCACTTCATCAGCTAATTTCAATTTCCCCATATTGACGACACAAAGATATACCAAGCATATTAAAAAGCTATATAAAGTTTGTAAATATTCAATCTTGCAAAATAGCATCAACTTACTCTTCTCCACTCCCTACGAAGCGCTAGTTTTTAATCCAAATGTCATCCTTGACAGTCAGACTTGACCAGAAAACTATTGATTCTAACAGTAAATTAAAGAAAATCATCTCAGAAAATTGGCGAGACTGGACCATTATGTACACAGATGTTTCAAAGACTTCTAGCAAAGATTGCGTAGGTTCTGCAGTTTGGATCCCTAAATACAGAATAATTTTAAATTTTTAGTGCCCACCTGAATCATCAGTTTTCACAGGAGCCATTTTAGAGGCAATCCTGTATGCCTAATCTCACAACCTGGAAAATACCTTAATTCTCACTGACTCACTTAGCTGTCTCCAAACTATTATATCCAGCTCCTTCCACTCTAAATCAAATCCTTTTTCTTCTTCTTTATTAAAAAAAAAACATTATACAATTGTTACAAAGAAGGCCTAAAAGTTGTTTTGGTCTGGATTTCAGGCCATTCCGGGATACATGGTAATGAATGTGCTGATTTCTTAGTTTAGTTTACGACGGGCTGTTTTCCGCAACTCCACGTCTAAAAGCGCGTATTTTGCGTGTGGGCAGTAATAATGCAGTTATTCGAGCCATATTTCCCCGAAGAAGATCAACAGTCCTTTGATGTTGCAAGCAACTTCGGGGAGCGATCCCGGCGTGCCGAGATGTTTAGCCCTGTATGAAGCAACTTCAGGAAATGTCAGCAACACGTGAGCCGCCGTTTCTTCCTCTCCCATGCATGCCCTGCACAGGGGGCTATCAGTAACACCTATGGTGAACAAATGTTTGTTAAAAGAGCCATGTCCTGTGATAGCACTTGTTACTATCCTGATCTGTGGGCTTGTTCAGTCTCATTAGAACCTTGGTTAGACGACTGTTTATTACAGGCAGGGCCTCCCTAGCTTGTCTACAGTCTACTAAATTTTTCCAAAGTTGAGTGTGTAAATTATTGAAGTATCTACGTACCAGTGAACGAACATAGCCAAAGGGGATTTGTATTATTGGTTCCGGCCCTATACATATTACCAGAGCCGACCCCCTTCTGGCCAGTTCATCTGCTGTATCGTTGCCTCTGAATCCACTGTGTCCCTTGATCCATTGCAGTTTCACATTATTGTGCTTACATACCTCATTCAATCGTTGATGGCACTCGTATATCAGTCCCGAGTTCGTCACATTGCTACTCAGAGCTTGTAGTACCGCCGTACTGTCGGTCAGTATTCTGACGGAGAAGTCTTTCATCTTCCTAGCATCTATTGCTATGGCCGCTTCGATGATACCCATGCATTCAGGCTGGAAGACTGTGTTGTGGGTACCTAGCGATGTGCATATGTGGATATTAAGGTCTTCAGAGAAAGCCCCAGACTCCACACCTTCATTTGTCTTAGAGCCATCTGTGAAAACTTTGAGCTCTCTTGGACCCAATCCTTCCCGATGGTCAGTTTCCTTCAATTGTATCCTGTACTTCTTATCGAATAAAAATTGTTTTGGGATCCTATCATACTTGGCTTGTAAGATAGGAATTTTTGAGTAAATTCTCTTGAGTCTTGAGTCTAATGGCAGCTAAAGTTGCTTCTTGTATATGTGGATGAAGCAGTGTTAGCTCCAGCATAGTCTCCAAAGCTGCTGTTGGTGTAGTCCTTATGCAGCCCGTGGTAGCCATACATGCCAATCTCTGGTAACGCTGAAGCTTTCGTATAGTGGTGGCTTCATTGGTCATGATCCACCATACCAGACAGCCGTATGTGATCATGGGCCGAATTACAGTTTTGTACAGCCACAGTATAATTTTTGGCGTCAAACCCCATCGTTTGCCAATCATGTTTCTGCATTGCCAGAAAGTTAAACTAGCTTTGCTGATTTTGTTTTCTATGTGTTTATTCCAGTTAAGTTTACTGTCCTAGGTAAGACCTAAGTATTTTACCTCGAAGGAAAGCTGGAGTTTTGTGCTGAAAAAACTTGGAAAATGATAGTTATTGCTGATTTCTTAGTTAAGAAAGCAACACAAACAGGAACCCTCTCTCGGTACCAAATTTTCCCCCATGACTTGCTTCCACAAGCAGGATCTGACTTTATGGCATCTTGGTAAGGTCTCTGAGACTAAATTAAAAACTTAAAATGTAAACACTACGCTCGGGTTCAAGACGTAATCCCATACAAACCTTGGTTTTCCATTATCGTGAAGCCAACAAATTTACATCAACCATTTGCCGTCTTCGCTTCGGTCATTCTTGCAAACCGATACACCTAGCCAAATTAAGGATAAGGGATAATTCCTTATGTGAATGTGGTCTTGATGAAGGTTTCACAGACCACATACTTTTCAAATGTCCACGACTCAAGTTCCCCTTGTATAATATCCTTCCCCAATACATTCCTCGTCCTACTAATTCTACCTATCTGCTGTCTCTTGTGTTCTCCTCATTTCTTCATATTGTATGTGATTTTATTTATACAAATAATATTAAGTTGTAACATAATACTAATTATTGTTGGTAGCGGAATTATAAATGTTCGTGTTGTCTTTTGACGTACATTAAAAGCCAATCACAAAAAAAAATTTACTGTGTTGTCACTTCCATGACTGACTTGAAATTGTCAGAATTCTTTTAAGAGAAGCCATAAAGTAAATAAGAAGAAGAAGAAAATTTTCGTACAATGATCTACAACAAAAAAAATTGGAACAAAAGATTGGAAGTCTATCACAAAAAAATTATAAAAAATAGATTTTATTTACTTTGTTGTCACTCCCATGACTGACTAGACATTAGCAGAATTCTTTCTAGAGAAGCCATAAAGTAAAGAAGAAGAAGAAGAAAATTTTCGTACAATGAACTACAACAAAAAAAATTGGAACAAAATATTGGAAGCCTATCACAAAAAAATTATAAAAAATAGATTTTATTTACTATGTTGTCACTCCCATGACTGACTAGACATTGGCAGAATTCTTCTTAGAGAAGCCATAAAGTAAAGAAGAAGAAGAAGAAAATTTTCGTACAATGATTTACAACAAAAAATAATTGGAACAAAAGATTGGAAGCCTATCACAAAAAAATTATAAAAAATAGATTTTATTTACTTTGTTGTCACTCCCATGACTGACTAGACATTAGCAGAATTCTTTTTAGAGAAGCCATAAAGTAAAGAAGAAGAAGAAAATTTTCGTACAATGATCTACAACAAAAAAAATTGGAACAAAAGATTGGAAGTCTATCACAAAAAAATTATAAAAAATAGATTTTATTTACTTTGTTGTCACTCCCATGACTGACTAGACATTGGCAGAATTCTTCTTAGAGAAGCCATAAAGTAAAGAAGAAAATTTTCGTACAATGATTTACAACAAAAAAAAAATTGGACCAAAAGATTAGAAGCCTATCACAAAAAAAATATAAAAAAATAGATTGTATTTACTTTGTTGTCACTCCCATGACTGTCTAGACATTCTTTTTAGAGAAGCACAATTCTTTTTAGAGAAGCCATAAAGTAAAGAAGAAGAACAACAATAAAGGAAAAATTAAAATATACACCACATAATGTTTACAAATTAATTTATTACTAGTTTGGTCTACATTACAAGACTTGCAGTAGTACAGGCCTCAGTCCTTCAAGCCCACCGGCTGCCTCACTCGAGACCTGACTGTGGTTTCGTTGGACAACTTGCCCGGGCTGGTGGCTCGCTTCAGACTGCGCTTGTCCCTCAGATTCTTCACTGTTCCACTGTCCACCTTGACTTTGGCACGCGTCTTTGGTTGCTCTGGTGGTTTTACCTGAAATGGGATTAATAACAACTTACAATCTTCCGTTCTGCGGATGTCGCGAGTTGCGACTGAGGTCAAGTTATTTGCTACGCAATATCAATAAAATTGAGAAGTTGCGTTTTATTTTTATGTTTATTAGTTTCTTGAGTAAGTTAATACACAAAAAATGCCTCTGTGGTCGGCTGTTTAATTTTAGCACTTTTTTTTCACTTTTAGGAATATACGTAATTTAGTTTATCCATCTAATACCATTCCACCAATTTGGATCCTTTATTAGTTTCAATAGATATAAAATTCAAAAAATTTACTTCAAAGTTCAGTTTAATTGCTAACTCAGATTTTTTTAAATCAAAAGCAGCTATGATGTGAAGAGAAGCCGTTAGTCTGGAGATTTTGAGTTTTGTCGGGAGTCATTTAAAATGGCAGAAGAATCCAGACGAATCCCGACCATCTGGCAACCCTGGGCTCTGCAGCTGATGAGAAAAGAAAGCTCATAGCTAGAGTGGGCTAATAATTAAATTAATAATAAATAATTAAAAAGATGTGAAGTTTTTTGTTACACAATGTCATTGAATTAAGAAGTTAATTTTAAATAAAAGTTTATCAGTTTTTAGGGCATATTATATTAATAGACAAAGAAATTCCTCAGTGGTTTGCACTTTAACTTTTTGCACATTATAATTTATGTTTTTATACTTATAACTTTTATATTTTATACTTAATTTAACTGTAATTCAAGTTTTTATACTTATAAGAATATCTGTGGTTTGATGTAGGTATTTAATTTTAATCTAATTAGTATAAAATATAACCGGAAAGAAACATTAACCTTTACATTTTTCGAACAAAATTAACTTCTACTATGAAATCTGTCAAATTATTACAAAATTGCAAAATATTACACCTCATTTATAAGCGCCTCTGGTGGTAGAAAAGTCGTAAATGTTATTGCCACACGTATAGATTAAAACGGAACGGCTTATTATTAGTTAAGAATCTCCGTTTCTTGTCACTGTAAGTTAATGCTGGAGCACGTAGACACACCTACATCTATCCCTGATTAAGAATCAAAATGCAGCTATATTGTCACCCCACATCGAATATAGAATGCTTTATCAACAGTGAAGAAGGTCTAGAATTTAAAAAATAAATAAATTATGAGAAACAAGCTCACATCTCAACTGACTGTAGGTGAACACTGTGACCCATAGACATTTACACTTCTGTACCCTCGTTTAGGAATCAAAATGCAGATGCGTTGTCACACCTGAGGACTAAGATGGAATGCATCACTTCCAGTAAAAAGTCTCCAGTTCTCTAAACTCATCATACGAAACACAGCAGCATCAAGCTGCTATTTCAGGCCGTTATTCTATGAGAGCGTGGTTATTCCCCGGTCGGACCCATTCATTCTACAACCATAACATAGCTGTTGCATGGCTCTACGAAGTAAAAAATTATATAGAAATAAAAAATACTCATATTCACCATATTCTCCTTTTCGCCTGCAGCTTTGGGGGTGGAGAACTCATTCTCCAAGTTTTTCACGATGCCACTCCGCTTTCTCGAATAAGTCTTGAATGATGTCATTGGAGTGAAAAACTGTTCTCCAGGAGTCGAGGCGCAGGGTGTGAAAAATTTTTCATTGACGTTTGAGCTCGGGGTGGTAACCTCACAGTCCACAGTGGCCTGAGAGATGAGCACCTTCGGTCTGGTCCTGCTCGGTCTTGGCGTTATGGTCTCCAAAACCGGCTTCGCTGTAATGGGAACTGGTATTTTGAATTCTTGTTTCTTAACTTCTTGGCCTAGTTCCTTCTCATCGGGACTCTCATCATCTAGATTCAGTTTTATTACTTTCCGTTTCAGAATTGGTACTTCCTCGTCCTTCACAACTTTATTTGTGTTCTTTTCTGGTACGTATTTGGTTTCCGGTGTCTTTATGAGTTCTGAGTTCGGACTCAGTTTTAGATTCTCCATTTCCACTTCCAAGCCAATCTCTTCATGCTTCTTGAACACTCTTCTAAGTCTAGCTGTTGCTATCAGGAGGTTGTTCACATCATTGGCCAAATATGGGTTAAGTTTGGTTTCTTGCATTATTTCATGTATTCTCACAACTTTATCGTTCACCAAGTCATAATTTTCTTGAGCCAGTTCAAAGAAGGATGCTTCAATGAGCATCTCCACTTCAATATTTCTAATCTCACTATTGTACATATCCTTAACAATATCCAGGATGTATTTTTGAAATTTCTTCGAAGCGTTTCGAAATGAATCGTTCAACTTCGCTTCGCACAATCTCAACGCTTCAGAAGCGCCGGCGAAGTAACTTCTAGCGATTTCGAACTCTTTGCTTCGGTAGTACATGGAAGCTTCCAGGGTGCACGTCTGGAATGCTAGAATTAAGGAATATGGCGCCTCGCACGCATAACAAGTGCACTTTCTGTCGTGTGTGAGGAATTCGGACATTTTAAAAGTTGGTATTGTAATACACGGCAAGGACGGGCTTGTCTGGACCTTTTTGAACTCTCCATTCTCCAGCATTGTCTCCAGTGGCGTGTATTTTGGTGTGAAAGGTTCGATTTTGCTGTTTGCGTGCTGGCAGTAAGGTTGAATTTCGTTTGTTGGCTGCAACCCCAGGATGTGTTTTATGCGGTTGTCGATTTTAATCTGCGAACAAATGGAAACATTGGGTGTTATTGTTCACACAAAAATATATTTAAACATAATGAAGAAAACACTAATCTCACTTGCATTTGCTTGCCCAGTGTGTAGAGTTTGTTAAATGAACTCTACAATATGATGGAAAAAAGAACTCTACAATATGATGGAAAAAAAGAACTCTCCGACATGATGGAAAAAAGGAAACACATAGGATGTTAAAACATTTAACAACAACAAAACTAAACATTTAGATAGGTACATTTATTAAAACATTAAAAATAAACAAAACACCTTAGAGAGATTATCTTTGGGTATAGTGATCGGAAATTCCACAATATTTGATTTATACAGAGAGAGACACCATAGCGCATATAGAGAGAAACTAGACACGCACATACACACCCAAGCACGCACGCACGCATGCACACAAAGAGACACACAGACACGCGCGCGCGCGCTCGCGAGAACTCACGCACGCACGCACTTAGACAGAAACTAGGCACACACAAAAACGCTCACACACTAACACGCACATACGCTCGCACGCACACACACACAAACACGCACACACAAAACGCACACACACACACACACACACACACACGCGCGCGCGCGCTCGCACGCACACACAAACACGCACATACACTCGCACGCGCACACACTAACACTCACATACGCTCGCACGCGCACACACTAACACGCACATACGCTCGCACGCACACACAAACACGCACATACGCTCGCACGCACACACAAACTCGCACATACGCTCGCATGCACACACACAAACACGCACATACGCTCGCACGCGCGCACACTAACACGCACATACGCTCGCACGAGCACACACTAACACGCACATACGCTCGCATGCACACACACACAAACACGCACATACGCTCGCTCGAGCACACACACAAACACGCACATACGCTCGCACGCGCACACACTAACACGCACATACGCTCGCACGAGCACACACTAACACGCACATACGCTCGCACGCACAAACACGCACATACGCTCGCATGCACACACACAAACACGCACATACGCTCGCATGCACACACACACACAAACACGCACATACGCTCGCACGCGCACACTAACACGCACCTCGACACACACCTACACGCCATACGCTCGCACGAGCACACACTAACACGCACATATGCTCGCACACGAGCACAAACACGCACATACGCTCGCATGCGCACACACAAACACGCACATACGCTCGCACGCACGCACCTCGCACGACCGCTCGCCTTTCGCCACACACCGCGCCACACGGCTCGCACGCGCACACACAAACACGCACATACGCTCACGCACATACCCCAGCACACACAAACACGCACATACGCTCGCACGCGCACACACTAACACGCACATACGCTCCCACACACTCCACACATACGCTCGCACGAGCACACACTAACACGCACATACGCTCGCATGCACAAACACGCACATACGCTCGCATGCACACACACAAACACGCACATACGCTCGCATGCACACACACACACAAACACGCACATACGCTCGCACGCGCACACACTAACACGCACATACGCTCGCACGAGCACACACTAACACGCACATACGCTCGCACGAGCACACACTAACACGCACATACGCTCGCACGAGCACACACTAACACGCACATACGCTCGCACGAGCACACACTAACACGCACATACGCTCGCACGCACAAACACGCACATACGCTCGCATGCACACACACAAACACGCACATACGCTCGCACGCGCACACACTAACACGCACATACGCTCGCACGAGCACACACTAACACGCACATACCCTCGCACGCACAAACACGCACATACGCTCGCACGAGCACACACTAACATGCACATACGCTCGCACGAGCACACACTAACACGCACATACGCTCGCACGCACAAACACGCACATACGCTCGCATGCACACACACACAAACACGCACATACGCGCGCACGCGCACACACTAACACGCACATACGCTCGCACGAGCACACACTAACACGCACATACGCTCGCACGCATAAACACACACATACGCTCGCATGCACACACACAAACACGCACATACGCTCGCACGCGCACGCACTAACATGCACATACGCTCGCACGAGCACACACTAACACGCACATACGCTCGCATACACAAACACGCACATACGCTCGCATGCACACACACAAACACGCACATACGCTCGTATGCACACACACACACACACACACACACACACAAACACGCACATACGCTCGCACGCGCACACACTAACACGCACATACGCTCGCACGAGCACACACTAACACGCACATACGCTCGCACGAGCACACACTAACACGCACATACGCTCGCACGCACAAACACGCACATACGCTCGCATGCACACACACAAACACGCACATACGCTCGCACGCGCACACACTAACACGCACATACGCTCGACGAGCACACACTTACACGCACATACGCTCGCACGCACAAACACGCACATACGTTCGCACGAGCACACACTAACACGCACATACGCTCGCACGCACAAACACGCACATAAGCTCGCATGCACCCACACAAAAACACGCACATACGCTCGCACGCGCACACACTAACACGCACATACGCTCGCACGCACAAACACGCACATAGGCTCGCATTCACACACACAAACACGCACATACGCTCGCACGCGCACACACTAACACGCACATACGCTCGCACGAGCACACACTAACACGCACATACGCTCGCACGCACAAACACGCACATACGCTCGCACGAGCACACACTAACACGCACATACGCTCGCACGAGCACACACTAACACGCACATACGCTGGCACGCACAAACACGCACATACGCTCGCATGCACACACACACAAACACGCACATACGCTCGCACGCGCACACACTAACACGCACATACGCTCGCACGCGCACACACTAACACGCACATACGCTCGCATGCACACACACACAAACACGCACATACGCTCGCACGAGCACACACTAACACGCACATACGCTCGCATGCACACACACACAAAACACGCACATACGCTCGCACGCGCACACACTAACACGCACATACGCTCGCACGCGCACACACTAACACGCACATACGCTCGCATGCACACACACACAAACACGCACATACGCTCGCACGAGCACACACTAACACGCACATACGCTCGCACGCACAAACACGCACATACGCTCGCATGCACACACACAAACACGCACATACGCTCGCACGCGCACACACTAACACGCACATACGCTCGCACGAGCACACACTAACACGCACATACGCTCGCACGCACAAACACGCACATACCCTCGCACGAGCACACACTAACACGCATAAACGCTCGCACGAGCACACACTAACACGCACATACGCTCGCACGAGCACACACTAACACGCACATACGCTCGCACGCACAAACACGCACATACGCTCGCATGCACACACACACAAACACGCACATACGCTCGCACGCGCACACACTAACACGCACATACGCTCGCACGCGCACACACTAACACGCACATACGCTCGCATGCACACACACACAAACACGCACATACGCTCGCACGAGCACACACTAACACGCACATACGCTCGCACGCACATACGCTCACACGAGCACACACTAACACGCACATACGCTCGCACGAGCACACACTAACACGCACATACGCTCGCACGCACAAACACGCACATACGCTCGCATGCACACACACACAAACACGCACATACGCTCGCACGCGCACACACTAACACGCACATACGCCGCACGAGCACACACTAAAACGCACATACGCTCGCACACACACACAAACACGCACATACGCTCGCACGAGCACACACTAACACGCACATACGCTCGCACGCACAAACACGCACATACGCTCGCATGCACACACACAAACACGACACATACGCTCGCACGCGCACACACTAACACGCACATACGCTCGCACGAGCACACACTAACACGCACATACGCTCGCACGCACAAACACGCACACACAAACACGAACACACAAAACGCACACACGCTCGCGCACACACACACACACACGCTCGCGCGCACACACAAACACGCACATACGCTCGCACGCACACACAAACACGAACACACAAAAACGCACACACGCTCGCGCACACACACACACACCACGCGCAAAAAACAACTCGCACGCACACACAAACACGCACATACGCTCGCACGCACACACAAACACGCACATACGCTCGCACGCACACACACAAACCCACGCACATACGCACGCACGCACACAGAGACACACTAGCCACTCACACACGCAAGCACGCACGCGCACATAAACACACGCACAGGCAATATTTATTTATTTATTTATTTATTTAACACCAACAAGACACACTAACAAAAGCATAATATTTTTGCAAAAAATCATAAAAACTAAGTGTAGACTTAATTATAGGTGTTACACACATTTCGTTACAAAAAATAGACACAAGTAAAACATATGCAGTGAATTAAATTGAATACAAAAATTAAGAGATCAATAAATATATCAGAATTTAGTGTTATATAACTAATTAAATTAAATCATGCATATTCCACTATATATATGTTGATGGTAATACAGTAGTAGCAATTTTGCGTCTTCCCGGTTAAAGTCGGTGAGCGAGGCGTGGAGTCCACAGTAACTGTAGCTTAGTGCGCACTGTACTGCAGTCAAAGAGCTCGTTAAGTAGTAGTATACATGTCTGAATTTATACCTAGCAGTGTTATAACATTACTAATATTCCCTCTAACCACTGGTAAGCTTAAAATGCTTGTGTTTCTCCACGAACTTTGCCATCAGACTACAGTTGTTTCATGATCTGAAGATGAGGTTACCTGTGCGTCTTCGTGGTTGCCGTCGGTAAGCGCGGCGTGCAGGCTGGCTGCCAGCGGAGCGCTGCAGGCGGGCAGGGCTGCGGCCGCGGCACTTCTCGCGCGTCGCCACAAGCGCAGCGCCCGCGCCAGACCCGCTGCTAGGACTCCGCCCCCGCACACGCTACGTTTTAGCGCCACGCCGCGGTATCTGCGCTTGCACCATCGCGATTCTGTATGCAATTTATTTAATCTTTATTAAACGATGGGAAAGATAGGTTCGCGAGTGTAGGACGTCCCCCACTAGATTGAGTCACGATCTGGTGAGACATGCAGGAAGGCGATGGGTGCAGGTGGCTCAGGAGTCAGGACCGTGCTGTGTGGTATACCTTGGGGAAGAGCTACAATAGTGATGACGAATCTTTATTAAACCTTACAAAAATACAAGATCCAATATATATATATATATATATATATATATATATATATATATATTCACGCGAGCACTTTGTTGATCCGAAAACGCATGTTAATCCGGCGCGTTTTGTTGATCCAATATGCATCTCTGGTAACTAATGTGGCTCCGACCGGATCAACATCTGCACTCACGAGACTGTTTGCTAGCGTTTGCCGAAGTTGATCCGATATACAAATCCACCTTGCGATGGTTACGGAAAATGTTGATCCGATTTAAATGAGCCTATCAGAGCACAGAAAATGATAAGATAAACGATCGGATGGGCTGAAAGCAGCCGCGACGTTGCCGTTTCGTATCTTCGATGGTAGAAGCTAGAGATTAAATGCGTGTTCAATACATTAATGCATTCGGGGTGCTGTTGGGTCTGCCTCGTTATTGTAATGCGCCGGGTTTGTTTGCGGATGCGCGTGTGGATTGTTTCTACACCACCATGCGTAAACGATGCACATCCCTGGTGCGCAGGGTGCGGGCCAGTTCTAATGGAATCCTGAGGGCATTTTCTGACAGGTTTGAGGTCAGTACCTGAACCATTGTCATATGGTGCACGTGCTGACTAATCGGACCTGTCTTACATATAGTTTTAAATAAATAGTTTTAAAATTAAGTAAATACTTGCAAGTTTAACTAAAATTAGTTTTAAGATTTGTATTATTACTAACATCTATGATCCTTATGGTCGAAATAAACGACTTTTTTAACGAATAACTCGACAACGCCCCTTCTTGCAGCGGAAGTGTCGGCAACGGCGACAAGGTATTCGCCTGAGTGCGTGTTTGTGTGTGTGTGTGTGTGTGTGTGTGTGTGTGTGTGTGTGTGTGTGTGTCGTTCATGTGTGTATATGTGTGCGTGTGCGTATGTGTACGTGTGTGTATGCGTGTGCGCATGTGTGCGTGTGTGCACTGTGTTTGTGTGTGTGCGTCAGTGTGCGCGTGTGAGTGTGTGTATGAGTTTGTGCGTGTGCGCATGTGTGCATGTTTGCACGCGCTTGCGTGTTTGTGTGTGTGTGTGTGTGTTTACCATAAACCAGTTAACATGTTTTCTACATCTTCATAATCAAGATTTTTAAGGACGCGTTTACAAAATTAATAGGTATAGAATCGAACTATTACATGAGATATTATGAGACCCTACCCCCGGTCTTGATGGAGTGACCTCAAAATGTAATTCGGGATTACTACTGGAACCTGGTGCCGAGTTTGGGCTCGTTTTGTTAGTTATGATGAGTCCTTCCCTCCAGACTTGCTGAAGTGACCTAAAGGTGTACTTCGGTCACTAATACTGTAACACCTGGACTAGTAGAACTAGGTACGCCGAGTTTGGGTTCTTTTCGCTTTGTCTCTTGTTCCAATAGGTAGCCAAGTTGATAATCGGAAAAATGGATAACCTCGTAGTAACACCTTTATGGGCAGTATCGATATCCACTTACCAGCCACATTGTTTTTCGCTGTAACCAACTGTCCTTTATGCGAGCCTCACTTGCCCTCACGTGGTACCCACTTTACTGCACTCCAGTGCACCCACCACCACCTCTGCCACCTACGCCTCCACATCTACCACCGCACCCCTCTCTAAGCCTTCGTTCTCTACCTCCGCTACCTCCGCCTCCACCATAAATTCTGCTCCCTCCGCCTCAACAATAAATTCCGCTCCCTCCGCCGCCACCTCCACGCGCCGTCACTATTCTTTCCGCCTCCAACACAATCTAAGATCGACCCACTTCTGACCGCTCTCCCCGTTTCCACTATCTCCGACTTCACCACAAATTTCTTTCCTCCGCCTTCACCACAAACTAAGCTGCATTCACCTCCGCCTCAACCACGTCTCCATTCTCCGCCTCCGTTTTCTGCGCACATACACACACAAACACGCACTCAGACGAACACACACGCACGCACACACCTGCACGCACGCACATGCCCGCGCATACACACATGCGCGCTCCCGCACACTCAAATAAACACACGCGCACACACACACACACACACACACACACACACACACACACACACATTCACACACACACATTCACACACACACATACAAATACGCGCGCGCGCACACATACATACACGCACGCGCGCTCACACACATACGGGTGCGCTCGCACACTCACATCCGCACATACACTCACACACACGCGCGCGCGCACGAACGAACACACACATACACGCACAAGCACAAGCACACACACACACACACACACACACACACACACACACACACATAACAGTGGACACACGCACGCATACAAACACGCAAACACACACATACACACACACACACGCACACACAAAACGCGCACACACACTCGCATGCATTCATCGGCACGAGTGCGTGCACACACAAAAGCAAACAAACACACGCTATACCGCACACACACACACACACACACACACACACACACACACACACACACACACACACACACACACACACACACACACACACGTACACACACACACGTACACACACACACACACGTACACACACACACACACACACACACATACACGCACACACAAAACGCGCACACACATTCGCATGCATTCATCGGCACACTCTAGTACGCACACACAAAAGCAAACACACGCTAAACCGCACATACACATACAAGAACAACAGTTAACACACACACACACACACACACACACAAAACGCGCACACACACTCGCATGCATTCATCGGCACGAGTGTGTGCACACACAAAAGCAAACAAACACACGCTATACCGCGCGCGCACACACACACACACACACACACACACACACACACACACACACACACACACACACACACACGTACACACACACACACACACACGTACACACACACACGTACACACACATACGTACACTCACACATACACACACACACACACACACACACACGTACACGTACACACACACACACGTACGCACACACACACACACACACACACACACACACACATACACGCACACACAAAACGCGCACACACATTCGCATGCATTCATCGGCACACTCTAGTACGCACACACAAAAGCAAACACACGCTAAACCGCACATACACATACAAGAACAACAGTTAACACACACACACACACACACACAAAACGCGCACACACACTCGCATGCATTCATCGGCACGAGTGTGTGCACACACAAAAGCAAACAAACACACGCTATACCGCGGCCACACACACACACACACACGCACACACACACACACACACACACACACACACACACACGTACACACACACACACACACACGTACACACACACACGTACACACACATACGTACACTCACACATACACACACACACACACACGTACGACACACACACACACACACACACATACACGCACACACAAAACGCGCACACACATTCGCATGCATTCATCGGCACACTCTAGTACGCACACACAAAAGCAAACACACGCTAAACCGCACATACACATACAAGAACAACAGTTAACACACACACACACACACACACACACACAAAACGCGCACACACACTCGCATGCATTCATCGGCACGAGTGTGTGCACACACAAAAGCAAACAAACACACGCTATACCGCGCGACACACACACACACACACACACACACACACACACACACACACACACACACACACGTACACACACACACGTACACACACATACGTACACTCACACATACACACACACACACACACACACACACGTACACGTACACACACACACACGTACACACACACACACACACACACACACACACACACATACACGCACACACAAAACGCGCACACACATTCGCATGCATTCATCGGCACACTCTAGTACGCACACACAAAAGCAAACACACGCTAAACCGCACATACACATACAAGAACAACAGTTAACACACACACACACACACACACAAAACGCGCACACACACTCGCATGCATTCATCGGCACGAGTGTGTGCACACACAAAAGCAAACAAACACACGCTATACCGCACACACACACACACACACACACACACACACACACACACACACACACACACACACACACACACACACACACACACACGTACACACACACACGTACACACACATACGTACACACACACATACACGCGAACACACACACACACACACACACACACACACACACACACACACACACACACACATACACGCACACACAAAACGCGCATACACATTCGCATGCATTCATCGGCACACTCTAGTACGCACACACAAAAGAAAACACACGCTAAACCGCACATACACATACAAGAACAACAGTTAACACACGCACGCACACAATCACTCACACACATACACACGCACGCACGCGCGCATACACACATACTAACACCGACATACACCCCCACGAATGCACACGCACGCACGCACCACACACACACACACACACACACACACACACACACACACAAACACACACACACACACACACACATACACACACACTAACACACACAAACACAAGCAGACAACCGCACAAACACACGCACACCGACACACACACACACACACACACACACACACACACACACACACACACACACATACAAACACATGCACGCGCACACATACATACACATGCACGCGCACACATACATACACGCGCGCGCGCCACACACGCATACGCGCGCGCTCGCACACACACACACACCCGCACATACACTCAAACACACCGCGCGCGCACGAACGAATACACACATACACGCACAAGCACATACACACACACACACACACACACACACACACACA